TGTACACTCACACACAGGCACACACAGATGCACACAGAGATGCGGAGATGCACACTCACTCACAGACACCCACACTCATACACACAGACATTCATACACAGACACGCAGGCACACACACACAAACTCAGTTGAAAACCTGAGCAGGCTAAGCTTTCTCTGTGTCCAGCGGTGACCCTGTCACTGAGCCCTGGGTGTGATGGAGTGGGGCAGCCGCCCGGAGAACTGGCGGGTCAGAACCCCTTCCTGATGCTCCCGCAGCGCCTGGCGGCGGCAGAATGCATTGTGGGAGCAGTGTCGGGGTGGGCGAGGGGCCAAGGGGCTGGTCCTGCTGGGGACAGCAGACGCTTCTCCTGTGATGGGCTTCCTGGGAGGGACCTGCACGGGGCCTGTGGTCCTGCCTCGTCCTCTGCTCCGTCTCCTTATCACTTTTAGGATCTGACTGAAATTATTTTACTTTCTTTCCATTATTATTGATTTAGGCTTATTTTATAAGGCTTAGTTTTGAAGTCATTTTGCTTTCTTTTTGCATTTCTGGAATTTTCTAGTGTTCCTTCTTTCAGGGTGCCCATTATGGAACACACCTTCCTATTCTCCCGTCTCCCAGTTAACTATAAATGGACCAAGTGAGGAAGATCCTCCCCCAGTTACAGGCCTCTAGGAGCGTTCAGGCAGTGTGCAGTGGGGCAGCCCAGAGCCTCGCTGGAGGAAGGGTGTGATTGGTGTTAGCTGGCCCTCCCACCCCCTTGTTTCACAGTAAATAGCTGAATTGCTTTGATGGTCCATTTAATGTCTAAACCATAGGCTGTAGAGAGTGAGGACATCAAGGAGCACGTGTTTACCCAGGCCTGATGATGGCGCTGTCGGCCGCAAGGGTGAGCTGCTCAGGTGGATCCTGGGGTAATGTTTATCATGTGATAAACAGAACTGTAGTACCTGACGGCTGCCTTTCGGCCAGCACCCTGGTTAAAGTCAGAAGCCCCCAGGTGGGGTTATCCTATGGGGAGACTCAGACGTGTCCCCCTGCTGCCCCCAGAGCAGGGAGCCCGGAGAGCCGGCAGTTAGAGCAGGGTCCAGTGGCCCACGGAGAAATGGCCGGACATGAACCAGCAGTTCACAGAGAAAGGAACACTGGTGCTCCTTACGTCTAGGAAAAATGCTCAGCCTTATTCGTAATGAGGTCAGCGCACAGTGGAATGACATCCACATCCCATTTCGCTTATCAGGCTGGCAAAACTTCAAACGTTTTACAGCGCGCTCTGCTGTACAAGTGCAGAATGGTCATATGTATCGAATTTCGATGCATTTACCCCTCGATCTAGCAGTCTGGCCTCTGGAGTTTATCCTACACCTTCTCCTGCATACGCGCGAGCAGCTCGGGTAAACGTTTATGCGTTGTGGTGGTGCTTGTACTTAGAAAAGATCGGTTAACTCACAGGTCCGTCCATCCATAGGAGACTGAGAGCATAAACTGTGCCACATCTACCGAGTGGAGTATTACGCAGCTGTTTAAGAGAGCAAGGAGACACTCCGTGAACTGATGTGGAAAGATTTCAGGATGGCTATGTTTGTTACGTGAAGAAAAACAAGGTTAGAACCATGAGTGTAGCAGGCCCTTTTGTTTAAGGAAAGGTACCATCTAGTCGGTTCTGACTCGTAACCACCCTGTGTACAACCGAACAGAAAGGAAAGGGTAGAGAAGAATATATATTCATGTTTACATAAAGAAACAGTAGAAAAATAACTAAACTAATGAAATGAGAAGGATCCCTGGTGGCGCAGTGGTTAAGCACTTGGCTGCTAACTGGAAGTTCAGCGGTTCGAACCCACCAGCGGCTCCTCAGGAAAAAGACCTGGCAATCTGCTCCTGTAAAGATTACAGCCTAGGAAGCCCTATGGGCAGTTCTGCTCCGTCCTGTAGTGTCGCTGTGATTCAGAATGGACTCGCCAGCACACAACGATGAAATGATGCCATATCGTGGCAGAGGAGGTGGACGGGGACAGGGTGGGAAGGAGGCTTCTCAGTCTGTACCTTCCTATAGCATTTTGATTTTTGAACCTTTGACTATATCACAATTTTTAGAACATTTACGAAAAAGCAGATTGAAAGCATAACGCATTTCATGCAGGCGGGTGGTTTTCACACTGACCTCGTCTGGCAGATGAAGCTTACCTTCGCCACAGGGACATCGGATGTGAGAATGCTAAAAGCTTTTTAAATATTTACAGTAAGAAACCATTTGTTGGAAAATGGAAAAAAAATACATTTTTGCAAGTGGGGCCTCACTTGGCAAGTGGGGAACGGTGCCGAGGGTTTGAGGCAGCGCAGAGCAAAGTGCCTGTAACGTAAATTGTTGCTGAATTTGTGGCCAGCAAACACAAGTCCCTAACGATGCTGTGTCTCCAGGCTCTGCCAGTTTTTTGGCCCCAGACCGTTGTTAAACATCTGAGTGTATGAACTTTCTAGCGCTGGCACATCCGCCTTCCGGTGGTGTCCCTGGTGGTATCCAGTGCTTTGGCGCGAATGGTCCAGCAAAGGCGCACCCTGGCGTTCTCCTTGCTCGCTGGAAACGTCCTTCTCTGGGAGCACTGCGCACGCTTGTCTCAAATCAGCGGTGAACTCACCCCGCGGGCGGGACACGCGGCTCTCTGTTTGCATGGTCTTCTTGGCGTCTCACATCAGAACGTGAGTCATCGGTCTGTTGGGGACATTGCTCAGAGGTGGCATCGTTGTAACACGCGGTGGTCTGCTAGGCTTTGTTCGTTTTGGGTTTCCCGTTTTCCCGTAAATAAACCTTACGTCCTATAGAAAGTGAATGGAGGCGGGCCCTGCCAGCATATTCAGAGGGGGCAGGATGCCTTGCCTGTAAACCTCTCGTGGCAGAAACCGGGCCCGGGCCAGGGGTCCATTGTCTGTCTATGTGCAGACCGCTTCTCTGGTTGCTGCAACAATAAAACACAAGCTTGCATCTTTCATCTCTGTTTGCTTCTCTTCTCCCCGCCCCTCCTTCTCCCCGTTTAGAAGTGTAATTCCCCCCCCATCACGGGCTGAGCGGTAAGGAGAGTTAAGAGGCAAGCTGGAGCTGTTTTTGGGGTGTGTGTTGTGGGGCGCTGGGGCCTGCTTAGAAAAAACATCTCGTATTCACGTTTCTTTGTCTCTTCCACCTTCTTTTTGCTCTGGCCTTAATACGTCATGCCGACAGCTTGATCTGGGGGAAACAGACAGGCAAAGCGAGACCGAGCGTGGGAAGCGGCTCCTTCGGAGCGTTCTCGGCCCGGCCTCTGCACCTCAAGTCTCTGGTACTTTTCCATCGGTCGTTGCATTTCTGCGCCTTTGTAGCTCAGAGGTCTTGTTTTCTCTTCCTCCTGATGAGGCGGTCGGCCTGCGTGCACTCGTAATGTGGGAGTAGGAGCCAAGGCCACACCTTCCCCGGACCCTCCGCCTGCAGGGTGCTGTGGGTCCAGCAACTGCCAGCTCCCAGACGGGCGGTGCCGAAGGGAGGGGCGGGGTGGGAGAGCTCACTCAGCGAAAAGCCTGAACATAGGATAAACCAAAAAGAACAGTTGTCATTGAGTCAACCCCATGTGTGTCAGAGCAGAACGGTGTTCATAGGGTTTTAGTGGCTGAGCTTTCTGAAGCAGATCATCGGGCCTTTCTTCCGAGGCACCTCTGGGTGGACTCAAACCTCCACCCTTCCAGTTAGCAGCTGAAGGTGTGAACTGTCTGCACCAACCAGCAGATAAATGCGGTTGCTGAAAAGTGAAAGTGCAGGCAGACAGATGGAGAAGTATCGTTACCAGGGCATGTATCCTCATGACAAACCACCTCTCGTCAGAACAAAGACTTTCAATACGCACAGAATCACGGACTCTGGTACGGAAGCATGTTGAAGTCATCACTTCAGAGCCTGACGTAGGTGCCACAGACTCAGAGTGGGTGGGACGTAATCTGTGATGCCTCATCGCTCCCGCTGAGACAGTTTTAAGGGTCTTCACTGTGAGTGTGTGACTTGGACTTGACTCAGACCTGAGCCAGCTGCCTCCCCAGCCCCCCCAAGGGTGTCGGTGCCACGGTGGGGGGCTACTAACACCACTCTCCTGGCCCCTCCCAGATGAAGGCTGCCGGGGGAGGCGGAGGGCCAGGTGAAGCCTCTTGGTGAGGAGTCTCTCACACGCTGCTGGACAGCGCTGTGCCCCACGAGGGCCACTGCTTCCTGACCAGTGCTGGCCGTCCATTTAGTGTGGGCTGCGTGCGGGCCCTGGAACTGCTGCAGACCCCCCCGTGACACGGGAGGAGGGGCTCGTCAGACATTGCCGTGTGCGCAGAGATGGTTGTCAGTATCTGGTAATTCCAGGCGGGGCGGGTTAACCAGCAAGCAAGGGGGCACCCGCTTTCGTCAAGCAAGGCACGGACGGGCTCACTTGTGTTCACTCACTAACCTGTAGTGCGCATTTCACACAGATGTCACCACATCTTCAGTGAGGTGAAAAACAGGTGACATTGTGTACTACAGATCACTAAGTATGCACGAGTAAACCTGTGTACCTTGCTCACGGGGTAATCCAGCCCTCATTCCAAGCAAAAACCAGGAAGGCTCTGGCAGGGCCGGGCCGCGGAAATCAGGGAAGCTTCCAGTGCTGGGTGCTTCCCAGTTGGGGGGGCAGGAGGAGAGGAGCATGGCCACCGGCAGGGCGGGGAGGGCGGTGGGAGGGGCTGTGGGCATGCAGAACCTCGCCCCCCGCCATGTGCTGGCCCCTCAGCCAGGTGTGGGGGTGCTGGGGTCAGTTTCCCATCTGAGCCTGTGGGACCCCACATTCCCCCACAGCCAAGGAAAACGTGTCTGTAAGCCACACCCTGGCTGTTTTTCCAAACGCAAGTTGGGCTCGAGAGAGAGGAGGACGTGTTCATTCACTGCAGGTGCATTTGCTCATATGTCACGAGACGCAGAGAGGAGCTCTCCAGGCGTCGCCCTCACGGTCCCCCCTGTGTCTGTCTTTCCAGTCGTGCCAGGCCGACCTGGTGAAGGACAACGGCCACAAGTACTTCCTCTCGGTCTTGGCAGACCCCTACATGCCAGTAAGGACGCAGCGCCGTTTCTCTTCTGGACGGTCTCGAATCTGGTGTCGTTGGTCTTTGCTGACACATCACGTGCTACCTCATCACAAGGGCTTCAGTGAAAGACCGCTCCTCACCCCTCGCTCGTCCGAATCTGGGGGGCATGAGGGG